TATTATTGTGTAGGTGGTGAGTGTGAGCTCACACTGGAGTTCAGAGGAAACCTTGCAGTAGTCAGCTCCCTCCGGCCACAGTTCCAAGGACCAGGCTGGCTACTAGGCTCTCACAGCAAGCACCTTTGCCTACTAAGTCATCTTGCCACAACATAATTAGCAGCTTTTGCTTTTTGGGTGGTGCTGAGGTTTGAACCAAGGACCTGGTGGAATGCCGGACAAGTGTTCTGCCACTGTGGTACTTCCCTGCACCAGATGGCTCTTGTGGCTCCTGTCTTGTGTTGGGTGTGGGGGTGGCGCAGGTGTGTGTGCAAATGGAGTCCTGAGGTCAACCTTGAGGGTCCTTTCTCAGGAGCCATCCACCTCGTCTTTTTGAGAGATCTCTCACTGAGACCCGGTACTTAGGCTAGTTCTACTGATCACTGAGCCCCAGGCATCCACCTGAGGTTACAAGTGAGCATTACCTACCTCGTTTTGTACCTAGGTTCTGAAACTTGAACCCAGGTTCTTGTGTTTGCAAGGCAAGCCCTTTGCCAACCGAGCCGTCTCCCCAGCTGCCTCAGAGGACTTTTGAATGTTGCCCCCTCAATATCTCGTACACCAATCACATCCTGCTTGGTCTGCGTTCCCCTGGGTTCCAGTCCATCTGCACACACATGTATATTGTGCATTCGTGTGGAAATTCGTGTAGTTACCATCGGTTGCATTTCTGCCTGACTCCCAGACATAAGAACGCTTGTCCTCCAAGGGACAAGATGGTGTTGATACACACGCGCACAGGACTGGGAGACTTGAGTATCATACCGCTGCAGAGGAGTCACTGTAGCAGGAGCTGAGCTTGAACAACCAAAGAATTCTATATCTTTGGGGACACACAAAGGGGTAATCAGGAAGCCCTTGAACTTATTCCTCTCAGATGCCCAGGGAAAACTGTATTTTATGGTCAGTGAACTAAAAGAAATATGCTGCATTGCTAAGAAAAATCTTCCCTCTATTACTTCGCTAACCATCACTGTAGCTACTAGCAACAGCACAGTCGATGTTAATGTTTATTATGTAAGTGATTTTAGTTAACCTTTGTTTATAAATCAGCTTTTCTTAATGGGGTGGTACACGTGAGCACATGCATGTATGCCAGGGTGTTCCAAGACACAAAGTGTGGAGGTCAGAGGGCAATTTGCAGAATTCACGCTCTTCTGACATATCCAGGGATTGAACTCAGATCTTCAGGCTTGGCTGCAAGCACCATTACCCACCAAACCATCTCATTGGCTCTGTAACTGAGCTTTTGTGAAAAATGACTAAGCCTTCTCTGACGTCTACTTATCAAAGCTACCCTCCTGTTAATTTAGAGGGTGGTCAACGTTTGTCCCCTTTGTCTCTGAATCTGCAAGGCTGGAGGTTGATTCAACTCAGACCTAGTAAAGGTCCCATGTGGACCCTGAATTAACATCCCATTCTAGCTGTTGGGAGAGCTGCCATAGGATCTGAAAGAACATTCTCACTGACGATGACTTATTTTCCAAGTTAAATTCATATTTGATATTTGAAAGCTATTTTAATCTGTATTAGCATAACTATATTTTTAATTTATCTTATGCTGTTAAGTTTTAATTAATGTCATCTTGTACTTTTGAAACTACATGGACTATAAGAAAAGCTCATGTGGAGAGGAAAAGGGAAAGAGAAGGAGAGAGAGGGAGAGAGGGGTGGGGGAGAAAGAGAAACTAAAACTCCGAATGAGAGAGAAAGAACAGGGTATGGAGGATATAGAGAGCAGGCTTCCCCTGGAGCTCCCTCCGACACTAGCATGGGTAAGTGACCTCAGGCAAGCCACCAAACCTCTTCAGACACATTGCCTTCCCTCTATGGTAGGCAGCTAGACTTGTTTGGAAGCCTCAAGTCTATAGCCGTTCTCTTGGGCATTACACCACCACACTGTTGAACTCCGACCCATAAGGCTTTGATTCTCTACCTCACTCAGATAGAAACCAGATTTTAAAGTGAGGGTAGCAACCATGGCAAACGAGCCAATCCGAAGAGGAAAACATGAGGCGCCACCCGCTTTTCTGCGGGCCTCTTTCTATCCCCAGGAACACTACATATATTTAAAACCTGAAGAGGGCCAGGCATGGGGGACTCACATCTGTGGACATCACTTCAGGCTGAGGGAAGAGGAATGAGAGTTCAAGCAGACCCTGAGTGACATAGTGGCCTCCTGGCCAGCCTGATGTATCCAGTAAGAACCTGTCCCAAGACAGCAACAACAACAACAAGACAAGCAAACAAAAACCATGCCCTCTCCAAAAGCTAGAAAATCAAGAACACAAAACAAAGCTGCAAATGGCCGGTGAAGCCGTATGAGCTGCCGAACCAAACTCCTACACTCCTCCCCTCCCCACCCCGTGACACTGTTCACACTGGCAGCCCCTTCTAGACTTTTCTGCAAGACCCATGGAGACTACAGGGAAAAACACAGGTCTCCCGTTTCCCTCTTATAAAGGTGAGCCAGAGAAATGTGCCAAATATGTACCTCTGAAACTCCACTTTCCACACATTCTTTCGTGGTTCAGATAAATGCACAGAATCACTTGCTAGTTGAAGTGGCTGCCCCTTCAGCCTGTCTTCAATGAACAATTTAGTGAGTGTAGAAAGTGTGACAGAAGATTCAATACTGAAGAGTTAGAAACCATTGCTTACACAAACTATACCAAGGAGGGCCTTGGCTCAGAGATAGGAACAATAAAACTAAAGACATCCCCCACTTACATAGGGTCAACTTAAAACTCCCTCAAGATGGAAACGGAGGCATTCGGAGAAGACTTCGTGGGCATGAGTAACAATTTTTGAAAGGCTCATCAAAAAGAGCACGGAAAATTGACACTTGAAAGATCTCCCTGCTTTGCTAACTTTACTATTAGGAACCGCAGTTTTGTAAAGACTAGGTTTTCTGACCTACAGAAGCATCGTCTTACTATGGTACAGCTATCTCCTCCCTCCCGAAACTGGCTACACTGTGCACGGATGCAAGACTTTTCCAGAGCAAAATCCAAGATGTTGGTTCCTGAGGCCCAGGGACAGTGTCTGTACCAGGTGGGCACAGCATCAGTCTGGATCAGGTGAGGCAGATGAATTCACTCTCTGGTACACTCACCGTCTCCCACGAGGCTTCACTGAGAGCCTTTCTCGAGTCCTCTACCGGGTCTCTCCATCTCCTACAACTTCCAGACACGGTCTCTTTCTAAGGCAAACCCTCCCTGTCACTCTGGAGAAAAGCTACAACCTTGAGAAAGAGGGAGGCCTGGGTGGTGGAGTATACTGACCCTTTACCTCCCTGACTGGCTTCTCCACAGAGCTGAGTCCCAGGTGCAGGCTCCTTTTCGCTAGGGCTGTGTCATCACGGTCTTCACTTCCATGGGACCCAGTCACTTTCACATTTGTGGGAAAGACGCCACACTGGGGAAACACACTCAGAATGGGTTGCTGTTGCTACCGGGCTTCTGCTCTTAAAACAAAACCCTTTCCCCATCTCTGCCAGCCTAATCCTGATCGTTGGCATTGGCTCCCCTCGCCTCCTGCACTGCCACGCAATCTGCTCAATCCATTCCCACACAGAGACTAAGCACTACAACTCTTCATTTCCGTGCTTACCTCCCTCCAGGCATTTTCTTGATTTTTCTGATTTTAGCAAGTACCGGGGACACTTGTTGAGATAACCACCTGGCCTCCACCCACTGGGATCTGATTTAGTGGCTGTTGGGTGGGTCCCAAGAATGATGTTAATGAGAAGTCTGTGTGGTTCTTTTGATCAAAGGCCCTGGGACAATATGATTATAACCTACGATGATACTTAGAGATTACCCTTGAAGTCACACCAGGAAAGAAACATACACACCAGTCATTTCAAGTGTCACCGTACGCTTGCCCAGAGTTTTCCCAGTATATTCACCTGTTAGGGAACACAAGCTGAAAATATTTAGATGTCTCAAAGAGCAATAAGAGATGCCAAAAAGGCCCATCAAACAGGTTTCTGGAATTCTGAATTCTCCACTGATACTAAATTACCAAAGCTTGGGCAGACTACTCAGCCTCAGTTTCCTAAACTGTAAATACCTAAGTGTTGCAAGATATTCTGTTCTTATTTAGCTTACTCTTACCGCTTGAACTGCAAGATACACCTTTAGGAATTATGCTAAGGGTTAGCCAGGCAAATGTAAAGAATATCCATCATGTTAACTAGTATGGTAGCACACACCTGTAATCACACCATGTGGGGGCGGGAGCAGGAAGATCTCTAATTCTAAACTAGCCTGGGTTACATAGCAAGACTCCATCTTCAAAAAAAATGTATTCATCATGTTGTTTAAAACTATGGAAAACTGGATATCACTTAGTATCTCTCAGTAAGGAAGTTAAATAAATACTGGTTTATCTAAACACTGACTATGTAACCCTTCAAAGTAAGTATACAGTGATATGGGAATGAGTATATGGGATGCAATCACATAAATGAGCCTATGTTATATGTGACTATACAGCTCTGGAAAATGACTGTGGTACGAGAACATTGTTAAGTGGTGACAGAAGGCTACAAAACAGGGTTGAAACTTTATCTCTGGGTCTCGCTTTTGTTTCAATTACATATTATGGAGTTTGTGACCTTTGGGGAAAGCCCATAGACACAATTCAATTATAATTAAAGCATTTGTTGCTAAGTTGCTAGCCTTAAAGCCGAATCTCAGCCTTCATGAAGGAGGAATATGGGGAAGGGCTTTTAAAGGTGAAAACCCACAAGAAAGCCTGAGCACCCAATGTTGCACACAGTCTCTGGTGCATGCCTGCCATTGCCGCAATGCCAACTGTTCCCTGCCTTCCTGCCAGAAGAAGAGGGCCATGGATCACACCAAAGGCTGCAAACGGAAGACCAATGGTGGATGCCCCATCTGCAAACAACTTACCACCCTCTGCTGCCACCATACCAAGCACTGCCAGGAGAACAGATGCCCTTTCTGCCTCGACATTCAGCAAAAAGCCTGACAGCAAAAGCTGCAGCTCCAGCTCCAACAAGCTCAGATGCTCCACAGGAGGATGGCCAGCATGCAACGGACTTTGGGGGGGCAGCAGGGTCTGCTGTCCCCAACTCCTGCTACTCCAACCACCTCAACTGGTCAACAGCCAGACACCCCACAGATACCCCAGCCAGCCCCAACCCACATCACAACCTCAGCCCACTCCTCCCAACAACTTGCCATCCTTCTTACCCAGGACTCATTAAACTACTGGCCCTGTGTCCCAGGGTAAGGCAACAGACCAATGACCCCATCAAGTCAGAAGGCTCAGCCTTCCCTTCCAGGGCCTCCACCTACAGCAGTAGAAATGGTAATGCACATTCAGACAGCAGTAGGGAAACAACACCAGAGAGCTCATGTACAAATTTTCCAAAGGCCAATCCAGCCCCAGATGTCCCAGATGATGCTCATGGCCCCTGTGGGCATGAACCCGCCTCCAATGGCCAGTGGTCCTGGTGGTCATTTGGAGCCAGGAATGGGTCCCATGGGAAGGCAACAGCAGCCACCCTGGGCCCAAGGTGGAATACCTCAGCCACAGCAGATGTAGCCAGGGATGCTGAGGCCAGCCATGATGTCAGTGCTCCAGGATAGTCAGCCCTTGAACGTGGCTCCACAGCCAGGATTGAGCCAAGGAGGTGTGAGACAACTCCAACCAGGCACTGTGTCTCAAGACCTTACAAAAGCTTTTGCAGATTCTCAGGTCTCCCAGTTCTCCCTTACAGCAGCAACAGGTGCTGAATATCCTTCATGCCAACCCCCAGTTGTTGGCTGCATTTATCAAGCAGCGGGCTGCCAAGTATGCCAACTCTAATCCATGACCTCTCCCTGGACAGCCTGGCATGCCTCAGGGACAGTCCAGGGCTGCAGTCACCTACCATACCAGGTCAGCAAGGTGTCCCTCCAACCCAGCCCTGCAGAACATGAATCCTATACAGGCCGGTGTCCAGAGAGCTGGCCTGCCCCAGCAGCAGCCCCGGCAGCAGCTCCAGCCACCCAGGGGAGGAATGTATCCTCAGGCTCAGCAAATGAACATAAATCACAACACCATGCCTTCACAGTCCCGAGACATCTTAAGACGTTAGATGATGCAACAGCAGGGAGCAGGGCCAGAAATTGAACCTGGAATCGTCAACCACAGCCAGTTCCAGCAGCCCCAAGGAATGGGCCACCTACTGCAGAAGCAGCAGCAGCAGTGAATGCAGCATCACATGCAACAGATGCAGCAAGGGAACATGGGACAGATGGGCCAGCTCCCCCAGACTTTGCGGGCAGAGGCAGGAACCAGTCTGCAGACATATCAGCAGAGACTTCTTCAGGGGTCTTCTGTTCAGCCCACCCCTATTGATGCCACAGCAACATCTGCTCCCAATCAGGCACAGTCCCCGCACCTACAAGGTCAGCGGATCTCTAATTCTCTCTCCAATCAAGTGCATTCTCCCCAGCTGTCCCTTACCCTCAACCACAGTCTCAGCGCCCCCATTCCAACCCATCTCTGAGGATGCTGCCTCAGCCTTCTCCACATCATGTTCCTCCACAGACCAGTTCCCCACGTCCTTGGATGGTCACTGCCCAGACTGTCAACCCCATGAAACAAGGGCATTTTGCCAGCCCAGTCCAGAATCCAATGCTCTCACAGCTTGCTAGCAATCCAGGCAAGGCAAAGCTCCACGGTGCAAACGCCTCAGATCTGGGACTGAGCACTGATAATGAAGACTTGAGTTCAAACCTCACAGAGAGCATTAGACATACACTAGAGATACCTTGTAGTATTTTGGGAGCAAAAAAATTATTTTCTCTTAACAAGACTTTTTGTACTGAAAACAATTTTTTTGAATCTTTCTTAGGCTAAAAGACCATTTTCCTTGGTCTTTTAAAACTGTAAAAACTGTGCAGTCGCTGTGTGTGATTTAAAGCAAACATGCCAGATGAGCCTGAGGGATAATAGATTACAAAGAACTTATTTTTGTTATGGCTGGTCACTCCAGCCATTCCCCCCCTTGCGTGTGTGGTTCGGGTATGCACTGGGAGGTGACTGAGGCCTAAAGCCAACCATATGCTCCTGCCTTGCACCTCCAATAGATCTTATTTTTTTAAATTATTTTTAAAAATTAATGAAAATATGTAATATTAATAATTATTATTTACTGGTGAATACACACACACACACACACACACACACACCAATCTTTTCTCTGGGTGCAAAGATGTTTAATCTTTAAATTTTTTTTTAAAAGCCTCCTGTCCCCCCCTCAAATCAACTTGTATGCTCCAGAAGACTTTCTCTTCTCTAAGTCAGAACATAAAACTTCAAGCATTAAGATAATTTGTACATGTTAAAAATAAAATGACTCTTTCAAAATATACAGGAACAGCTGCCAAATTGATGTATTATATTGTGGTTCTGTTTCTTGAGAGATCTTTTGTTATTTTTATATCTAACAAAGGAAAAAATTTAAAAAGAGGATACGAAACAACCCCAGTTGTTAACAGGCAAATGTCCGAGGTTTCTTCACCTGCTTTCTTCCTTACTCTACCCCTCACCGTGCGCTTTCTGTAAAACTTGAAAAGAGAAAACAAACCCTCAACTGTTGTAAATCGTTCAATTAAAGTTGATTGCTTATAAATATGAACTTTTGGATCACTGTATGACTATTAAATTTGATTTCTTATTACCTATTGTTATAAACTGTGTGAGACAGGGAAAAAAAGAGCCACCGTCTCTTTTCTCTCTTTTCGAGAAGGATTGTTTTCCAGAGTAGGATCTCAGGATATGGCTGACCTTCAGCTTATGGTCCTCCTTCCTCAGCCTCTAAGGGCTGGAATTACAGAAGAATTACTCCAGGCTTCTACACTCCTGTGTCTTTTTCTAAATTAAGTTTAAACTTTTATATATGGACACGAGTCCATATAATTTTTTTAAAAAAAATCTATTTCTTAAAAGTACATCATGAGTATCACCGGAGTGGCCTCTTCCACAACAAGAAATGAGGCATTCTGGGAGCAAGGGTAGAGCTGTAATGGCCTTATTTGCTTAAATTTGTTCTTTCTTAACTCTCTCTCTTTCTCTCATTGCTGCACCTACAGCAAAGCTTTAGTGGTATAAATGGGTGCCATCCCTTAATGAACCCAGTATATCACTATACTGGAACTGTAAACACCTTGCTTAAAAGATCTGAACTCCCCTGGCCCCAAATCCTGGGGTGGGCCACTAATTTACTCACCTGGGGCCTGGTTTCCTTCTGCCCCTCAAAAGCTACTGGCAGAACGTGGAGGCAAGTGTAAGGAAGAGCAGACGGCACTTTCCCCCCCAATACCTCCTCCTCAGCTGGGCTGGGAGATCCAGGTGCCCCCAATGGTGAGAGGGTGGGGTCAGAGCCTGCCTTCTGCTATAACAGCACAGAGCTGCCTGCAGCGCTGCCTGCGCTGCCTCAGCCTGGGTGCTCTGTGGTGTCTTCCAGCATGGTGTGGAGGCAGAGGACGGAGCCTGTAGGTCCTCCATGCTGCAGGAGGTGAGGCGGTCTGGGAATGGGGGTAGGGAATGCAACGGCTTTATTTGTTCAAGTTCGCTTCTTCTTAGCTCTTTCTCTCTCTCCTATCTTAGCCTCTGCAGGTCGCTTTCTCTCTTACTTGTCCTCGTGGCTTCCGTCAACTCCTTCAGTCTTCCCCAGTCGAAGAACCCTCCTGCCTTCCCAGGTATGTCTCTTGGGTGAGGGAACGCTCCTACCGAAGAGAACAGGCTGCGGATGGAACAGTTCTCCGTCCCTTTCTCCTCCCTGTTTTCTCTTCTCTTCCTCCCTCCCCATCCCTGCTGATAGGAACTTGCTGTGTAGCCTAGTCTGGTCTCCGTTCAATGCCTCAGTCTACCTGCGCCAACCTCCCTACTGCTGGTTTTCATGCCTAGCTTCACACCCTTCTTACTTTAGTCAAGTCATAAAAAAAAAAAAATCTCCTGCTTGTCTGTGAGCTTGCTATGTCACCTTGATGCACGAGAACAAAATAACGTCTGTGCTACTTCCCACCCCCTTGCTGCTCTACATTTCCTGGTACCTAGCTCGGGCCATTAGCTGAGCCCTCATGTTTTCATGAATAAAGACCAGCAGCCTTCATCTATGTCCTGAGCTTAAGACGTCTACAGCAGACACAGCCAGACCTGTTCTCTGAAACAAAGTTTGGGATTCTCCCCTGAGCCAGAGGCCTTAGAAAGGCAGTCATGGGCAGAGTTTGGTCTTGGAGAAAAAAAAATTCCCTGGGACTTACCCAGGATTTTCTTCTTAAAGCTTTAATTTGGAAGACAGCAGAGGAAGCTTCTGCTCTAGAGACCTACGATCCCCACAACCAGCAGCTCCGGCCCACAGCAGGCAGCCCCTGATTAGGCTCTGCCCTTAGCAATGTTAACCCTAAGTTGGGGTTCTCCTAGGAGCCCTGGGTGTTGAATGAGGAACATCCTTAAAGCTTGTGTTGCATTTGTAAATCTGAATCTGTGAACTCCCTGAGGATAAGAGTGCCCTCCCCTTCCCCAACCGGCAACAGTCTTTCATGTTGTTGAGGAAGAGGGTGTTTCTACACTTACCTGTAGGAACAGTCTCTTTCCTGTACCTCAGAAGTCTTCCAAATAGTTCATCTGTTCTCCAGGCACTGTTACTTGTGATGAAGACGGAGTGAGAGTTGAGTTTCCAAGCAGTCTTGACATGGAAAAATGGCAACCTTCCATTGTTGGTATGTAATATGTATTGTTTAAGCTTTGTAAAAATTTTTAATGATTCCTTTTTAAATTTATGTGCATTGGTGCTTTGGCTGCATGTGTGTCTCTGTGAGGGTGTCTTACCCTCTGAAACTGGAGTTACAGACTGTTGTAAGCTGTCATATGGGTGCTGGGAATTGAACTGGGATCCTCTAAGAAGAGCAGCCACAGCATTTAACCTCTGAACCATTTCTCCAGTCACTGTACTATTACATCTTAATTCCAATTTGTAGAAAACAGGACCGCCTCTATTTGGGTACACAAGACCCCAACACTTAAAGAACAATTGGCATCCATCTCCCTTGGTACTTTGGGGTCCATGACTTGCCATATGCTACCCAGAGGGGAACACCTGTCTTTCCTGGGTAGTCTGACTTCTATGGGATCCACTGGGAAACTTTGGCTGTAAGTCACAGGCAGAACAGAGAGTTTGAGTGCCTTAGATGCGGATGAAGTCCTGGCTCAGAATGTTCGATTGGCTCTGACACTGGAGTGTGTGTTTCTTGATTATGTCTTCTGTAGATACCTCCGGTGTTGAGATTTTGAACTGCACTTATGCCCTGGACTCAAAAAACCTCACCATGAAGCTCCCTTATGAAACCTGTACCACAGGACTGGTAAGTAATTGCTTTGGAGGAGTGTTCTGGGGAATAGGAACCTAATCATTTACTGGTATTCAACTTGATGGCTAAGGATTTAGACTTTGAAACAGAATAGCAGTCCTCAATCAAATTGGCTTGTTCTCCTGGGCAGCTAGCATACCCAGAGGACACTTTGGATCATGCCTAAAACATTCTGGAGATGGGATCGGCTCTATTACTGGAATAAATAAGGGTGTAAGTCAAAGATATGGTCGCATAGCTCATAATGCCCAAGGGAGGTGAAAAGCTCTGAAACATCAGCATTGAAGAATCCCAGTGCTGGAGTTATTAGTCCCAGGTTTGACTTCAAGTAAGCTACCTAACCTTGCTAAGCCTCTGTTCGTGTATTAGAAAGTTGGAAAGCTGCTGCCACCTCCAGAGGGTATAAAGACTAATGATACCATAGAGATGAAAGCAGGGCACATGGCTTAGAACAAATGCATGGGCATGGAGCTATTTTACTAGAACCCTGTGTGAGATAGGCGGCTATTTCTGGCGCCAGCAGATGAGAACCTAGCTTAAGAACAGGTGTTAAAAAGCAAACAGTTGCTAAGCAATAAGGGTTTCTCTATTGCCAAGCAACAGGATTGCCCAATTAGGGTCATTAGGTGGAATAAAAACCTGCCACCTGGCAGAAGTTCTCAAGCTTCCATGTGCAAAGAATCACCGAGGGGTTCTGGGTGTGTTCAAGGATTTCAGCTGATGTGGGTGTGGGGGGTGAGTCCTGGGAATCAAAGGTTTAATAGGCCACATCCTCTGGCCCCACGGGATAGGCTTTGTGTATGTTCAGACTCTGCTTGCTGAGCAGTCTCCTAGCCCACTAAGACCCTCTGTGATGGCCCAGAAAAGTAATCACATATCTTTTGGGGGAATCTGTACTGATTTAAACTTCCTGCTCTTTATTGTTTGAAGTTTCATACATGTATGCAGTGCGTGGTCACCATCATACATGTATGCAGTGCGTGGTCACCATCATACATGTATGCAGTGCGTGG